AGAGAGAGAGAGAGAGAGAGAGAGAGAGAGAGAGAGAGAGAGAGAGAGAGAGGGCAAGGATGACTTCAACAATCACCCTGAACAGAATACCCAATCATCATGAACGTATGAGAGCCGTATGTGCGGACTCCAGGGTCAGCATAGGGCCTTGCTTCACTACTCAACACTCTAAATCATACATGCGGCGCACCACAGAAATTTTTTTTTTTGGGGCCACTTTGTACTACTCATTGGATCTATTTTCTTTTCCAGCAGGTCCGCTGCAAAGAATCAGCAGGGTTCGGGATGTTCTTTGAACTGCTGGCAGACCACGAGCAGGCCAGCAATATATCCTGGATTTGGATTCAGGTCTGTGTTCCAAGAGTTATGGGTTACGAAAGTACTACAAACACTATGGTAGCTGTCTCGTTTCTTTGTTTTTCCTTTTCTTACGTGTGGTGGCCCTAAGGGCCTCGCTCCACTCATCACGAAAGAAAAACTTGTGGTTTGTATGGTTCCAGTTTGTAGGAGAAGATTCATTCTAGTTTTGCATTTGGTGAGTAGTGGAGTGAAGCCCTGAAAATCACACGCCGAGTTAGTAAGTCAGTAACCCATAACTGCTGAAACACGGACCTGAATTCGAAGCTACACCATATATAGCTTGCCTGCATGCTCCTTACTACAAGTCCATTGACGGCCGCTCCAGTGACCACCCTTCTCCTGCCGATGGGGCCCTTGCCAATTTTTGGCAGGGACCTTTTGAAGTACCGACAGGGGTTGTCTGAATAATTTGAAAGGGCTGTTTCCTCTCTCTCTCTCTCTCTCTCTCTCTCTCTCTCTCTCTCTCTCTCTCTCTCTCTCTCTCCCCAGCGTGTATACACACATCATGGTTGCTTCTTCTTCTTCTTTTTTTTTTTCCTGCGCATCTGCGCGTTTGGACGCCTTTCTGGACCAGGTGCGGTTGGAGCAGTCCAGCATTTAAAATGTGTATCTGGATGATTATGAGCTCCAGATACGTATGGAGCGTTGTGTAGTGGACCGAGGCCCAATTACAGTTACTTGGAGTTGTATTCATGATGGATGGAATTTCAAAGAAGGTGGGTACTTTTGGGGAGCAATGCCGAATTATGAGGGGTGAGATTGTTTCGTGACTCATGACGATTTGTGGACAGGTTGGGGCATTGAAAGATGTACGGGCCGAGCTTGCTCGATGGCGCAACAACTTGTTCCTGAAGGTGGTGGAGGATCTGAATCTGCATCTATATAACAAGGGTGAATACAGGTCAGTAGGTGCGTTCCACCGCGAAGGCAATCCTTTTGCCCATCTCTTTTCCCCATTGAATCCAGAATAGCCTTTGTAAAGACGCTCTGCAGGTCTCTCTTTTTTTTTTTTTTTCTCCCTCTCCAGTCCTTGCGACTCTGAATTCAATCGACATTTTGGTTCTCACTTATATGTCTATATGTAACCTCACTGAGTAAGGTTATACCACCAGTACATCTTGAGAATCACGAGTGAGCCCCTCCGGGAAGTTCGGGGACTCTGGAGAGGTCCCGCCTGGGGGGAGATAGGAAATTGTTTTTTGTTCAGTGCCACCCCTGATACCACTTCAAGGCACGGGACGCTTTGTTCTTTTCCACCTGCCCTTCGAAGGCCCTGTCACGAGGACAGGCTCGATTGCGATTCTCAACTTGGCTGTGGGTCCATGTACTGGTGTTTTAAACCCACCACTGCCTCAAGAGCCTCTTTTGCCGAGGTGTATTTCCCCTGCGCATCAAGCTTCCCCCGAAGCGCGAGCGCGGCATTTTTTTTCCTTCTTTTGGCTGGCACCGCCAGCCATTTTGGCCTGCTAGCAACCGACGTCCGGAGAACCCGGAATGTTACATTTTCGAATCTCGAAGTTGCCTGGGAAAGGTAGTGGGTGTTTGAGAGGTTCAGCACTTTCAAGTTTCAACATGTATGCCTGTGTTGAAATGCGCTGTCCGAGTAGCCCCTCTTCTACCACTCTGCCTTCTTATTTGCACCCAGTCATTGACAGGCGCCTGGTCTACCACTCTTCCGTCTTTTGCACGCAATCACAGAAGACAGAAGCATCAGTTATCTCAACAGGTCTGCTGTATATGCTGTCGACACTGGCATTTCTTTTTTTTGTTGTTCGTTTTTTTTTTTTTTGTAGTAAGTATGCTTGCCAAAACAGAGTTTACCGTTCAGCATTCAACATATGGATCGTGTAAGGTCTTTTAGGCCACCGCTACGTCGTCCAGACGTGACGTGCTGAACCTTGAGAGATCTTGTTAGGTCAGGACCTGACGAGTTTCTGAAAGGCAACGTCGCAATATGGTGGAGGAATGCTGTTGGCACTTGTATTTGTTGTTTCGTGGGCTCTGCTGTGCTGTTACATCTTCGACGCCACACGGGTCCTACCGGACCCGACTTAGGGTGAAAGGGACACAGTAGGGCCTAAAGGCCCGACCTTGGGGGTACTACAGGCCGTAAAGGCCTTACCTTGGACCAGACCCGACGGGCAGGCCCAAACGACATTACCGTTTGGACCTGGCGGCGCTCTTGAGGCTGCCGCCCGCCGGTTGGGGCTGAACCGTCCATCTTGACGGTTCAGGGCACGGCCAGGCCTCGCAGCATTGAGGCCAGCCGCTGCCCCACCGCTACAAAAGTACCGGTCCAGCCTCATTGAGGCTATCGACCCACCGGCACTGTACCGGTGCGGTATGGTACGGCGCAAATCAGCGCTGGCGCTATGTTTAGCGCAGGAGCATGAGGAGCAGCGCAGCGCAGCAGCAGCGAGCGGAGCAGCAGCAGCAGCGACTGAGCGTATCAGCGGCCATAGCCGCCTGAGGTATCGGGAGTCGGAGGTTTCTCTCCTCCCTCCCATCGCCAGTCCCCTCTCTCTCTCTCTCTCCTCCTCGGCTCCCTCCTTCTTCTTCTTCTTCTTCTCTTCAGACTCCATCTTCTTCTTCTTCTTCTTCTTCTTCTTCTTCAGATTGGAGACTTATACTAGTTGGACAGAGATCAGAGTTGGACTTCGGTGGTAAGAGGCTGTGGTACTTACCGGATTCGAGACTTGGAGATTGTTGGGGATGATACTCGGCTGCACCACAGATTTGACACCGGTTACATTAGGACTCTGTATCTCCGACATTGGTGACTTATTGTCCTCGACATTTTGATCTTGTTCGATGACATTTTGGATTACTATGTAGGTGACCTACTGGTTTCTAGCTCGGTGACATTTGGTGCTACCTACATCTCCCACCTCCTTCGTCTCTCCTCCCACCTCTCATCTGTGTATGTGTGTACGAGGTCTGGGCATCGTCTATGCTTGGCCCAGACCCCACCATCTCACGATTGTATGTGTGTGGAGTGATATCTGTGCGAGTCAGTCTATGTGAGTCAGTCCGTTTATCAGACTTCCGCTGCATATATGCTCATCCTACATTGGTTGATCTTTGGTTCTGCCCATACTCATTGAAGTATGTAACATGTGCCGTCAGTTTGTGGGCCGTCGACTGGATCTTTGCAGGGCCACTTCTACACTGCCCATCCTAGTATGTCGCCACCGTCTTCCCCCGAATAGAACGTATGGTAATTATTGCCGTGTCTGGACTGGAAGTTGCCCTAAATACAGGCATAATGACTGTTCGTTCTGTTTGGGTGAAGACAGTAGTTATGGAATGTGGAGGCCCTCCAAGATGATGGTTTACAGTTCAAACCAAGTAACCGCGACAAGCCACCAGGACAAACCCACTTTATCTCAGAAAACAAATGGTTCCGCCCAAGGGGCGCAGAAAGAAATATTCTGTTGTCGTATAGTATGTGTTATCTATCCTCTAGGCCACTGGGACCCAATGCGCAGCCTCATGGAATCCAGGAGGCTGAGTAATACAGTGACATTTGAGGAAAGATCACTGCGTTCAGCCCTTGCTGAAAGGAAGCCCTCCTTTCGGTCATCGCACTTGCAGACATGTGGCCCTCGCGGAACTTGCCATCGGTTAAACCTTGGCATTACGCAGTCCCACATCAGAAGAATAGCAGTGACTTGTTAGAAAATGCAGTAATGCTATTCCCCAGAACTCAGTCCCGAGCAGAAGTTCTCGTTCATAAAATAGATCAATAGCACATAAATGGAGGCAACAAAAAGTATCCGCTGCATCCGCAGACATGTATGAGATTGAATAAATATGAACTAAACTACCGACAAAAGTGACCACAAGTAACATAACCACAGTCAGAGTATCAAACAGAAAACCCCAAGAAGCATCACATCAAACATTTTTGACAAAATCCATGGTGCGAAATTTGATATGACAACATGCACTGGCTCCCAGTGCAACCTCATGAAAAGCTATGAAACACAGACCCCGGTCGGAGGTTCCAGCATACAGCCAGATTTTGTCTTTGATGCTTTCAAACGTACGTTTCTTTTTTCCACTCTCCATTACACGTGGGACTCAACCAAACTGTTTTTTGCCGGCTGTATTGTTGTTGATGTCCCAGCCAAAGGCAGATTCCACTGCACTGTTTCCCCCACCGACAACTCCGGGAACGGTCGGACGGTAATCAACAACGCATTTCTTTTTTTTTTTTTTCCCCTATACCATTCAACAACACATCCGTTAAAATTGGAACGATACAGAGAAGATTAGCATGGCCCCTGCGCAAGGATGACACACATAAATCGAGAAATGGTCCAAAAATCACTAGTACTACATTTCCCAGTGACTTTTCTCTGTCATGGCGTGCATGCGGCCACAAACTTCAGGGGTCGGCCTACCGGGACAAAATGGCTGGCATCGCCAGCCAAAAGAAGGCCCGCTGTCGGAGTGCGTGGTGTCCCGGCCCTCCTCTGTATGCCAGGCGTCTACTCGGGACCCCTCGGAGTGTACCAGCTTCTTGCTCGGACTTCGCTGCGTACCGAGCTCAGGCTTCCGCACCTTGCCGACTGTTCTTGAACCTTCACTGCGCACCGGGTATACTCGGGTTGTACTCTGCTGTGGACCGGTCCAGTCGGTGCCTGCCCTGGTAAAGGTGGTGGTGCGCCACTGGACTTTCCATTGGTCCACGCAGGCTCGGTGCCCTGCTGTACAGCAGAGCACTACCGGCCTGTGGCCGTGGTAGCCACACGAAGATAGAGGGACTGGCGTGGTCTTTCTACTGCGCGCCAGGCGCCCTCTTGCTGAGTTATGGGTTATATGCACAGGCTGCTGTCACAGCTGAGCGAAAGAAAACTAAGAAAAGGAAAAAGAAAGAAAAATGAAAGGCGAAGGGAAGTCGTACGTCAAACCCGTGTTTTGATCCGGACCGTCTTAAAGTATCAGGTGATCTCGGGTTGTGGTGATGTTACGCCTTTCTCTTTCTTTTTTTTCTTTCGTCTCATGTATTATTATTAAATTTATTATTAGTTGTCTTCTTTTAATCTCGTTTTCCCTCCCTGTCACTTCGTGGGGGGGGACTAACGGTTCGTTTTTGAACCATGATCATAAACGGACGGTCTAGACTGGCCTGACCCTTCATGTTTTGCTCTATTACTGAGTCGACTGACTGGGCGCCACACAGTAGGACCCCAAAAGGAAGGGCGACCCGCAGCTGCTTCGGAAGGAGGCTTATCACCTCCCGCGGAAGGTCATAAGCCCCCTCCTTACCATTGGACATGGGCACCCATCAGGGGTAGCCTTACGAGTTCTTTTGAAGGAAGGGAGGAGCTGATCCGGATTTTGTTATGGGACCACGGCGTACCGAACAAGTAGTCATACACTCTAACCGTTGGTGTTCGATTCCCTCTTTTGATTTTAATCATTTCTTTGAATGTCAATTACTAATCGGCCAGCGCTGTACTCAGTGTGGGTCGCTCGAGCCGGGATCTGTCTCCTGAGCCTAGTGCGTGCTATACTGTAACTCGCGTGAGTGTGGGGCGCTCAGGCTATCTGGCAAGTGGCTATTGCGCGCAGCAACGGTCTTTACGACTATGAACCGAGATACCTGCGGTACTTTTGGAGCTGGGAGCCTAAGAGAGAGGAGGGTGTCATAGTTGATGCCTGTTTTAACTATAGCAAGCATGACCTCGCAGTAAAGTTGAGGGTCAATGTTTACGGGGCCAAAGAGCAGGAGATGAGGGAGGATGCTGCGGTGCAGGGGGTGGTCATGGAGGCTCGTAACAGAGCCGAACGGAGGTGCCGGCGAGATGGGGTCACTGCTGCTTTAAAAGTTACTGTTACTTACCATGAAGAGGAGACCTCCACGATTACTACCGAGTGAGAGCAACAAGAACT